GTTGTGACATGAGACTTGACGACATTGGATCCAGACTCGACATTGGGATTCAGACATGTTGACGAGGGACTATTTGGGCCTGTGCTGAACACTTGGTGTTGACGACATTCCCATCTTCCCTTCTTCTTCGTCTAACCCCACCTCCTTCGTCTGTGTATGGTTGGGGCTGGCGCAGTCTTCYTGTGTGAAGCGCCAGACCCCTTCACACCATGATGATGATGATGTATGTTTTGGGCTGCATTGCAATATTGATTGTTCGGATCATTGGTATCCAAGTCTTCCGCTGTGCTATCTTATACTTTGTATTGAARGGTCGGTTCTTGTTGTGGTCTGCACCTATACGGTATGCAACACAACACCACACCACGAACACGGCGATCAACACAGTCCGCTCGGACAATACGCAGCCCCACCACTGCTACTTAACCTGGTCACTCCAAGGTGCCTTCACAGTAGTTACTGAACAACATGCAATCAGGGCATCAGGCCGCACCATGCACGCACGGCCTCGAAGCGGCACGCTCAGCCTCAAGAACGAAGTCTCGTAACCATTACTTGGGGCATGGGTCTTTCGTAGACACCCTACTACCGGTAGGTGTCGGCAAGTACTTCTCTGAGAATCAAACTTGGCTTGGTTTTCACGGTAAGACATACCGAGACAATTGGGTTTTGTATGACTCTGTCCAAGGCCATGAAGTGGCAGCGGCGCTGGCACATCTCGTTGTGAAATAAGGGTTGAAACGATTCGGTCTAGAAGTTTGTTTTATACCATTGTTGAGACCCATGAATGATGCTGTTTGTCGTAGATGATCAGGAACGGAGTGCTGAAGGTAATACTCATACTTACTAATTTGACAGAATGTGGCCATAATTGAGGTCAGGTACATCAAGGAAAATCCTAGAGGGTGAGTATGCCCTGAACCTAAAGTATGCGTGATAAGGATTGCATCTACAGTTTGCATATGCACATGAAATCCTTTGCGCTGAATGACGGAAGGAGGATAAAGGCAACCCTGTATGTCATGTAAAGCAGAATACGAAACAAAGAAGAGTCTGATTGTCATGTACTGGGTGAATCAGGTCTCAACAGCCTCTGGATGCCATATCAGCCATCAAATCCTTACAATTGGCCATATCAGCTAAAACAGATAGGCTTGGCCCTTGGGGAAGGCTAAATATAATACTGAAGGCTTTCCTTTTTTGTTTTTTGTTTTGCCTCTCCCCTTCAGTAAGTTCGTATTTTTAAATACCAAAGCCTACCTTGTAACGGAAGTTTTGTCGACTGCGGCCGAGCAGTGGAAGCATCTCCGTCACCACCCTCCTACACCATCCCGGCCCTGCCAACTCTCCCCCCCCCCCCCCCCCCCCCCCCCCCCCCCCCCCCCCCCCCCCCCCCCCCCCCCCCCTCCCTTGTCTTGTCAAATAACCATGGTTGGGCCACAACTTTACTTGCAGATTATCGCGGGTGCGTTCAATGAGTACAAGCGGGTGGACTACAAAGGAGCGGTATGTACTCATTGATTTTGCATCCCATTGCTGCTTATTTCTAGCTGCTCGACACTCTAGCTAGCCTGTTCTGCTTCTCCTTGTCCTCCTCCTCCAGATCCGTTGCTAGACCTGGCATTCTCTTGACACCCTTCGACCTTTCCTAAGTCCCTTGTGTAGTATGTCATCATCGATCTTGCATCCCATAACTGCTTGTTTGCTGGCTACTTGACTCTTCCACTAGTCTATTCTGCTTTTCCTCATCCTCTTCCTCCAAACGTTGGTAGACCTGGCATTGTCTCTACAGAGTCTACACCCTCTGGCATGTCCTGAGTCCTTTGTCGTCTAATCTGCTCTCTCATATATGTCTTCCTCTCAAATTTATGGCTGCGCTCCTCCTGGCCAGCGGGACCTCTTGTTCTGCCTTGGGCCACCACCACATATCCAATGGGCAATTAGTAGATCATGTGTGTGATTGTGCTGAAGGTGCTGTGAGGATTGAGCCCTCACAGGCCCCTTAGAGACATGCAAGTGTTCTGGGCTGTGCCCCCCAGCAAGCATTGTGCCTGCCCTAAGTGAAGGCGGGCTATCCATGTGAGGCCTCCTATCGACATTTTTCCATTTGTGGGGTATCAGACAGTTGCTGCACACCAGTTGGTTACAAAGCAATGTGAGGGGGGGGGGGGGGGTGAACGCAGTGGGGAGAGCTGAGGAAGGAGCGAGCAGGCATGCGCTTTGGCAGGCAGTTCCTGGTAACTCTGGCTGAATCTTGAAGGGCAGGAGAGCTAGGTGTGACAACTAGGGGAGGGGGGTGTGATGCAGTGGGGAGAGCTGAGGAAGGAGTGAGCGGGAATGCACTTCGGCAGGCAGTTCTTGGTAACTCTGGCTGAATCTCGAAGGGCACAAGCGAGCGCTAGGTGTGACAACTAGGGGAGTTTCACACCGTTCAAGCAATCCGCTAGAGACAGCTGGCTGCGGTCGGAGGATAAACCGAGGGAATGAGGAAGAACGGGAGATTGGCGCATCAAACGGAGGAGAGATCAAAGTGGGATCTGATGGGTAAGGGTGAACAGAGAAGGCGGCAGCAAAGTGGGAATGAACTGAAGCAGCTCATCAGGAATGGTGTAGAAGAGTGGGAGAAGCTATAAGATGAGGAGGGATAGAGCTCAGAGGCATTCGGAGGGAGAGTGCACATAGGATATGGGAGATTTGGCACATGATACACACAAGGTTTCATGTACGTAGCCCACAGGGGCCAGAGAGCGCTACCACGCGATGTCTGCGCACGAGAGCTGCGGGTGCGACACACACACACAC